TAGACCTATTTATTGTAATCAACAGGGCAACAGGCCTTCAAACCAAGCAATAGTACAAAAGTCCTTTTTAATACTTAACTTAATACAAAATAACTGTTTCAGGCATTTGCCTGAAGGCAACGGACTCGACAGTTGACAGGATGCATCATCTTCAACATACCGAGCCATCAATCTATTCAGCTCTGCCCGGTTCATCGGCTGCACTGCAGGCTGTGTAAAGTGGAGCCGTGGTTGTTTGCGTGGAGCGGCGCCTGCAGTCCTTCGTCATGAGCGACGCGATGCTGTTTACATGCACGTACGCCGACTATTCTGTGACACACAACGTTTGGTGGCCACAACTATTTTGTGCTGACAGGCAGCTATTTACTTACTATTTGCCGGCCCTCCGCTTCGCGTCACAAAAGAGAGTAACGCGAGTAACGGACTCATTTCAATTTCAGTAATTGTAACTGCGTTAATTTATTTAAAAAAATACTTAGTTACATGCTCGTTACCGCTAAAAGTAGTGGAATTACAGTAATGCGTTACTTTTTAACGCGTTACTCCAACACTGCTCAAGAGTAGGCACAGACCTTGTTGTGAACATTTTTGTATCTGAACTACTTTCTCTCTACCAAGCTACACCTTTGGCTTGTGGGGCATCTTTCTGGTGCTACGGTCACTACAACCTTAGTGCTTTCTAGGAACTGTATATTGGAGTTCAAGCTGATTTTTGTACAGCCGATACAACCAACACTGCGACTCATACCGAAACTATCCAGGCTGATAGATAGCGCTCCAGGTAAGAGGACAAATGGTGTCTTTTTATTTTTTATATATATATATATATATATATATTTATATTGCGGTGAAACGTGGAAACGGGTCCCTGGCTTAATAGATCCGGCCCTTACTGATGGAGCCGGTAAAGAGGGTGAATAATCACAATCAGAATGTTTATGGGAGACGAGACTGGCAGGCCTGCACAGCAGATGAACAGTAATCGAGAAATAGGGGAGTGGTGGGAGAGAGTGAGAACAAAACCGAGTGAATGGAAAGGGTGGGTATACGGTCAGAGTTTGGCCCAAAAGATATTAGCCTAATGGCCTCAGAGAGGGTGAAAATGAGGACATTGCTGAGATGGCACAAGACAGGGGGAATAACCCCACTTTAAGAGGACTCTTAGGACTTGTTAGGCCTGGCCGGGTTTAAGCGCTTTGGGCGCTCCTGTAATATTTCTCTTTCATTTGAATTTCAACCTCTTATGTTCTCTCTGTCTTTCTCATTCTCTGTCTCTGCCTAGCTTCCTCTTTTCCCCCCCTTGTTCTATCCCCTCCCTGATGAAACGGTGGGCGCCAAGTTACTATAACAAGATATGGCAGTTTCATTCCAAATAATGACCCCCAGGATTAACAAACACGAGTCCTTGAATGGTATTTAAAAGTGGAGAGTAGACTGGCCTTGCATTGTTACTGGCTATGCCGTACTTTAGCACAGTCTCTGATTGGCCAAACAGACTGTTTCATGGGAAGAATATTCACAGTCTTTCCTACCACCGAAAATAATTCGTTCCTTGGTCTATTCCAGGTGACGGTTTGAAAAATTGGGGTGACCAGTTTTTAGATCAGAGTTGCTGCCAGAACCATCTTCTGTGACAAGATGAGTGATCTTGGGTTCCTCCAGAACACAACTCGGAGTAATATTTTAAAGATGGCATTCATTTAGAACACAAGATGTAAGGCTTAGGTTTGGTTTCCCTCTCTGTGCTTGTATTCATTGAATTACCCCTAACTGCTCTCTGGGCTCCTTTACAGCAGCACACTGCTCCCACTGTATGGGATGGGTTAAATGCAGAGTATAATAAAAAATACTTTCTTTATTATAACTAAATCAGTGCGGCTCCTTTAATACCAATCAAATGTTCTTGTATGTACACAGATGTATTAATACTACCTGCACACTGTGCATTAAACTATTTTATGTTAGTGATTTGCATTTGGGACTTGCATTTGGTATTTGAGCATACTTACTCACTCATGTAAACCTATTCATTAACTTAAAAAAACACTATTCAGGTAGTCTCCCATTCCCGCTCAGCAGGCTTTGGGCCTGTAATTGATAGTATGATTAGATTGGAGGCCCGTGTTCTGTTGTATGTCGACAGGGCAGTGTGTGTGGATACATTTTATGGTTTCCAATGCTGTAAGGCGCTGCAAATTTGTTTTGTGGGTATGGAAGAGGAGGGGTGGATGTGGATAACAAGGACCCTGACTTAAGTAGCGAGACTGTGGTAAGCACCAATGGGGTTAAAATCATAAACACACACACACTTCAAAAAACTCACAGACAATAATGTGAAAGAGAGTGCACCCAAAGAACTTCCATATGCAGATGCTCTGCTCAGCAGGTCCAGTCCTTGGGGGAAGACTCCTCGGTCTAGACAGCTGGGCCACATGACAGAGACCGGCACCCACAGAGCTCTGGCACGTCTGTGTGGATCCCCGCAGAGCTGAACAGGAAACTGCTCTCTAATGCATTGTGACAGGAATGCTCTGACACACACACAGCACCTCTACGACAAAACGCTATTGACAACCCAATGATATCACAGCGGTTTTGTGCAGGACTTAACTCGGCGAAAGACTGAGTCCGTGAAACACAATCTTTCCTGTCAAAGTCAATTTCTGCCATGTGTGGCCCAATGTGTGGATACCGAGGGAAGTATACAAAAGTGTTGGCTCACAGACACAATGTGGCAGACCAATACGCATGGGGCAGAAAGGTTCATTGGAAAGTATGGGTTGTCAAATGTACACAATATACAGTGCGTGCAGTGCGTGATGGTGCAATGCCGATGGTAGGCATATGGATAGAAACGGTTGGATGTTGTGTGAGAAATTACTGTATGAGAGTCCGGACCCCATGATGTCCTTTCACACACTTTACACAAATGCACCTGTGACATCAGTCATGCACACGGTCCTCCCCACAAGTCTTTTGGCAAGTTGCCGCAGGGACCACACAACCTGGTTTGGTAATTGTTTCTTTGCCCGATTGAAGCAGGAAAATGCTCCTGTTGCCGTGGCAAACTGTTTGGCTGCTTTTGTGATATTTGGTAGCCTTTCGGCGCCTAAGGAGGCACCACGGTGCTGTGACATCACCATTATTTTGTGACAACTGTGGGATAGAGAATGCTGAGCGAGGCAGACCCTTTAAATCATGGAATATGTCTTAATGTGCCTTCAGAGCCTCCCTCCCTTCCCTTACCTCTGACGCCCTGATGGCTTTAACATCCACAGACCTCAGGCTAACCTGGTAGAATATGTGTTCCGTCCATATGCCGCTGTCTCAGTCCATATGCCTCTGTCTCACTCCATATCAGCGGCTCCCTTTTACACTCAGTGTCTCCGGCCTGTTTAACACTTTGACCCATGTTTAGGTTGGTGCAAAGGCTAGCCGAGGGGGTTGTTGCTCTGGGATTTGTGTGCTTGGCCGTTGCCATGAGTGCCATTGCAGACAATCGACCACAGCAGGCATACTAGGCCATGTCATGCCTAGGACACAATGTGTGAGAGCATTCTCTTAGTTCCCATAGTTCCCTTTCTCGCTGTGGGAGACCAGAAACCTGAGTGCCAACATTACATCACCTCAATGAAGTGTCAGTTTAACGTCGTATAACATGATACTGTATGCAGAATGAAAATAATAGTGAATTATGAAGGAAGCTGAATGCTCTCTTCCAAGTCTCTGCTAAAACATGTTCACATGCTTTGATGTTAACATACTAATAGCATAACAGCTTTAGTCCATTTCTACCTCCTTTCAAATTATTTGATTCAATTTACTTCAGTTCAATGCAATGTAACTTTATGGGCATGAAGGTTTCCGAAAAAACAATGCTTTAAAATAAAAAATATATATTTTATATATATAACATTTTTAACTATATTTTATAGTTGTGACATTACAGCAATACAGCATTCCAGACTCCCTGTAAAAAGGACCTGTTTCTGAATACAGCTTCCCAAGAGTATTTTTCCATGGGTAATGGGTTTTAATTAGGTCTGGGCAAGTTAACCCGCTGCTATCAGACCACACATTTATTAATTAACGCCAACAATTATTTTATTGTGCTTTAACACAGTTTTCTTAATATTATTTTGAAAGATTATATTGATTTTATTACAAGAAATATTTTGCACAGAGACTTGTGCGATTATCAATTGTAATGGTTGCCCAGCATTACTACTTTCACAGTACTAGTATACCGTATGAATATAATTCATTTTACAGGGTTCTGCATAGGGCTGCATGGTAGGGCCAAAATTCCATGTCACGGTATTGAGAAAGATTCTGACTATCTTGGTATTTTACGGTATTGCTTTTTCAAGTACACACATTCATTCATTGACCCCGAAAAGGACCGCGGCTAACCCGAACAGCGGTTTGCCGTTTGCTGGCCACTGGCCAGCGAGTTAGCGTGTTAGCTTGTTGTGGCTGCAAACAGCTGTTCTCCGCTATCCAAACAGCTATTCGCCTCTTGTAGCAACAGTTACTTCTTTTTGTGAGCTGTACCCAGCATGCAGTTCGGTGGGTTCATTTCTATGAATGTACAATTATTTGTGTTACAAATTGTTTATGTGTCACAAGCTGTTGTGTTGTGTTTTTTTACCCTGTTAAGGAGTGTTTGTTGTGGGGTACTCATTGATGTTATAAAGTTATGACCATGACTCAATCTCAACACACCTAAGACAAATAGCTCCGACCGCTGGGGCATTTCCATGACGCGTAGAATTAAATTCTGCTGCCTGCTGAAGAGTAACGTCAGTTGTTAGTAACACCAGTATGAAGAGTACGTGAGAAATTCATACCGTACGGTCGTATATCTTATACCGGTATATATGTACTTCTGTTGTAGGCTACTCAACACACGACCCAGTACCCTTCATCCCACAAAACTAAAAGTAATTCAAATGAGCACTATACAAACACTGTAATGAAGTACTTTCTGTCTTCTCCAGAATCCCGTCACCTGTCTATACCACAGAGGGTGATGCCCGACACTACAGCTGGGGAGTCATGGACAACCTCGGAGGAGAGAATGAAAGAGCTCATCGCCCAAGCCTGGGATGTTGTTAAGCGCCTTACTCTGCAGGTACCAGTCCTACTGTATAATGAGCAACATAAACGTGCCTCCTTGGCTTTCCGATATCTTTCCCACATTTATTTTTTGAGTTCAAGCACCAAGGAAAGGGCCAAATGATTTCTTTTTGACCTGAGAAGTTATTGGCCGTGACACACGTCAGTGGCAGGACCCCTACGAGGATCCTAACTTCAAAGGGTTCTGTTTTCATACCTTTTGTGTTGTTTCTGCAGACGCGTCATCACAGAAGCACAGGCATTTTCTCTTATTCATTGAAACAGGGATACTCTGTTACGGGGGAAAAACTAAATCCGTTTTTAATGCGAATACGGCTTTTGGGCAAGTTTCTTTGTGCATGTAAACAATAGCCGGTGATGCAGAGGTCCAGCTAATCATTCTTAATTCATCTTAATTCTTATTGCTGGGACCACACAAACTGACGTCAGTCAAACATGAAAGGGGGCATGACGCATGTGAACTGAAATAGTGCTTCAGAGCCCGGGTCCCATGTCAGCCCATTGAGCTGTTTACAGTACTTCCACAAAAGTTAACTCAACCCGCTAATAGTTTGTTGAGCCCGTCATTGCCTCCACTTCCCTCTGTCCCCCTCGGCTGTGCGACTGGGACCACACGGCGTACTGCAGCAGTAATTAGGAAACAGTCTGTCCCGTTGACACGGGGTGGAAGCCGACCAAGTCCGAACAACCCGACAGCTGGTACCCCGGGCCTTGGATATCCCCAAATTTAAAACCACTCCATTCATTTTAGTGCGGTGTAAACAGAATACCTAACGGCTCACACTTCTGCTGCACATGTGCCCAATTTGGCATGCATGGCTTTCTCCGTCCTTTTTTACAGAGATTCGGGGTGGGGGGGTAGTGCAGAGGTGGCGGAACAAGATTGGGGGAGGGAAAAGTTACACAAGTATTTATTATTCTATGGGTGCTGAGACTACTTTAAGCTGTTTAAACAGAATCCGGACACGTGATAGCTGGGGATTGTGTAAATTGTTTTTTAAATGTTCAGATGCAGCCTTTGGACACTTCAATTGTTTTCTTCCAAGTACCAGAAGGTAGCCGTGTCGCTCTGATTATACTGGATATAGATTGGATACTCTACAGTTAATTTTCAGCCATTGTCTGTCATTCATTCGACCAATGTCAGCAGCTAATGAATATCATCGACTGGAATCAACCCCGTTGTCTATTTTCCTCTTGCAGTCATTGCAGGTCTAATGCATCATCCTTTGTCACACACATCCTTTGAAACCAAAAATACCTAAATCTATTAAAGCAAATCTGTCCCACTGCACTGTGCACTTCATTGCAGTATGACTTGAGTGTAATGTATGTCATCCCACTCAGTCTCCCACAAGTCTAAAACCAGAGCAGCAGCTGGAAAAAGCAAAACATGTGCTGCTTCTAGTTGTAGCTTTCTGCTCCAAAATCCCTTCTTCACACCATACCTTCTTTTTCACTGACAGGCCTAATCAGCATTGATTCCCGAGAATGGCTCCGTCACACGCTGTTGTACAGATTATTATCTGAATCCACGAGTGTCACGGTCTATCTGAGTGCTTCACCTAAAACCCCAGACATGAATCAGAGCCGGGGTTCCTCTGTGACTAGGTCTGACTACGTAGCACATTCTGCTGCTACCTCACAAGGAACGATAGGCGTCTTTTAATCTCCTTCATGAGGCAACCATGACAAAGGCCGTTAGCCAAAAGAGAAAGTCTTTACTCACAAAGCTATGCTGCCATAACTAGTGTCGGGAAAGATGATCTGAGAGAAAGAAGCAAGGGCATCCGCTACAACCAAAAGAGACACTTTCTTTGCCCCATCACTGCAACACAGGCCTGGTGCTGGTGAGGTCAGAGAGACGTACCACCCAAATGGCAGAGTCTTCTTAAGGTTACGTACAGCAAAGATCATGAGAGATGTGTGTTTTTCCCCAAAGAGGCCACTCAGTCTCTTGGTCACGCCAGGCTCCGATATGTGTAGGTGGTGTTATTTTGGCAGTCACTTTCCATTAGGGTTGAAGGGCGGTGCTGCAGTTGTCGACCAGGCTACAGTGTCCTGGCTCATCTGGGCAAATCTTCAAATGGCCACTTGACCTTCAATCGTGCCCCTTGCACACAGAACACCCCCAGAGTGCTGTTACCTCTAGGGTCCTTCTCTCTATCCTGTGACCCTTACCCCTTCTCATCCTGTCATCTGCCTCGCCTCAGCCCCGTCCTGCCCAGGGACACCAGGGTTCTCAAGCGGGCCCTGATAATAATTGCCAGTGATCAGGAACACTGATTCTATTTCAGGAATTCTGCAATAATTCCTTCTATTTAACACATGAATGTGTTCAGCGCTGGCAAAGGAGCACGTTGCTACCAAAACTGAAATGGGATCTGCTGAAACAGAGAGCCCGTTGCCATGGAAAAATGCAGTAACACTGCTCCCCGCAGCTGCCATGCATTAATGAGTACGATTTTTTTTTTCTGAGAAAGAAAGAAAAAGGAGTCGAAGAAGCGGTGGGCTAGAGAAGGTAGAGTGATGGAAAGGAGATGTTAGGAAGCGAGCGAGGAGAATAAAATACGTATGTGCAGGAGGAAAAGTGAAAGAGAGATAGAAAGGAAGGATAATGTGCACAGTATTTTTTGGTGTGGCTCAGATGGAGCTTGCCAGATGGTTTCCATGAACAGGATCTGACCCCCGGCTGGAGCGCCTTCTGCGGGCACATTACTTCAACCCCCCCCTCTCACACACGGTCTCCATTCGTCCTATCATCCTTGCACTCAACACCTCACCCTCCCTGTCTGTCAAACAGCACAATTTTTGTGCTACTTAAAGACTATATGTCGATTGGGGTTTTCAAAATTGCCATTTAAATACCCTGAGGGGTTGCTTTTCATACAAATCGTAGGAGAAACAGTTTGGGGTAGGTATCGCAACGTATCTTCGGATTTGTTAAGTGCATGCATTTACATGTATAAGGATTTACCTCAAGCCCCACTTCCTGCAATAGAGGGCCAAAGCTCAGATTTACAAAAAGACAATTAAATCACAGTTCAGTAGCATATTATAATGAAGAGAATGTTATGACATTGTAACAATCACACTAAATATACAATTAGTCCCAGTGCATATCCTCAGTGGTCCCCTGATTATTCAAATATACAGTTTGTCTTACAGGAAAATGCGCACACACACACACACACACACACTCTTCATGGACTTTATATATTTTTACAGTATTTATCACAATAAAAAACTAACAACACAGGCACTGGTTTAGCATTTGAAGATGATTCATTGAGAGCGATGAGTGACAGCGAGCCAAATGTCCATCAGTGTGATGAAATAGAAAGCGGCCAGATGTTGACAGCAGATATTAAAGCCCAAGTAACATTTCTGTGAGAATACAAAAAGTAATATATCACATCTCCTGATCTAGGCTTGGAGCAGCCACCCAAGCTCCATGCTGAAAATGATAGCATACCGTACTAGCCTCTTTTTAGCTGCAATGTTGCCAGAGGGACGTTTACCACCATTATTATTATTATTATAGCGTCAGCTAGCAGAACTTAGTAGTCTAAACCAAAGCTGTGAGCTGATTGGCTGTAGTGCAAACAGAGGGAAAAGGTTAATGCTGGGGGCTCCTGTCATTGCCGAGGGGAAACGAAGGAATGAGAAGGAAGAGGAGCGGCATTAAGGCAATAGTGAGAGAAAGGGTGGACATTCATCTTGTCTTTTGTCACCCGACCTAAATCGAGACCCCACAATGTCAGAGTAGACATGGCGTTAGCTCTTTACCATCCGAGAACACTGCGCATGCGTGTGTGTGGCCATCATCTGCTGCTGTGTCAATACGCCGATGAACAGTCATTACAGATGCACACATATATTTGACCCTCTCTCCGGGCCGCCGCGGAAAAGTGCTTACTGGGATTCTCTTGTGTCTGTAACCTGTTGAACCTCGGAGGCCTGGAGACCTGGAACTGATTTTCATCAGGATAAAAAAAAAAACTCACAGCAGCTAGAATTTCAAGAGTGAGATGTTTTAAAAAATTGTCACGGAAAAGTGATTGTGGTTTTCGCCCTGACCTTGTGAATGTGTTTCTGGAACACTTGTTTGGAGGTAAATCTGGTTTGTTGGGGAATTGCGTCCACCCGGTCCGTCTCGGGCGGAGGAGGATGCCGTGCCGAACACAGATCAAAGGACATTGCCGGGGTATACAAAACGGCCCCGTTAGGCCGACTGGATTCGATCGTACCGCAGGAATCAACAGTGGTGAAAATTTGCGAGTAGGTCAATAAAACCTCTTTTCATCCGCACTACATCAGATCAGTCCAGCCTGGCCCGGTATCTCATACTGCACAACATAAACAGCCGTCTACACTCATTTCAGCTCGCCCAGAGCAAAATGGTCTGGCCACACCACTACTGAAGACCAGGCCAAGCCAAAGCAGAGGTCAGTCGGCTCACCATTAGTCCGTCGCAAACAGGAGAACCTTTAGCTCTGCAAACTCTGAGCTTGGGCCAGGTGATGTGGCCAAAACCGGTTTTGTCTAACAATATTGTTGGCTGACTACTGCTGCTTTCACAAAACCGTTTTAAGCCAATGACCCGGGAGTATTATTGAAAAACGGGAGTGACTTAGAGACACCGTATACGTCTCTGGTAGGAGTAGAGATCTGTCAATCACAAGGTTGCTCCGTCCTACAGCTTACCCTGCATTGTGTTTTATTTGACTCCAAATGGACCATAATTTACTAAATTAATCATGCTGCATAGACATCCTTTTCTCATATACTTATGGCAGACAATAGGGGGAAAGAGTTTTAAGACGCTTCTGCATTAGCTTCAAAGTCGCCGCCTGTTCTAGTCCCATGCTTTTTTCTGAGCATAGAACATCTTGGAGGAGGCGTTAAAAATAATGTTTAACGCTTAATACGTTTTTGAATAAATATAACGATATTGATATAATATTGATACATTGCCTAGCTCTGTACCCTGGA